GGACCTGGGCATCAGAAGGAGGAGGGGCCCCATTCCATGGACCTCCTCATTGGTATTGGTGAGGGGCCCCGGAGAGCCCCCAATCCACCAGCTTCCAAATGCCCTGCTGTGTCGAGACACTGATCCATTGTTATCTCACAAGGATGGGCAAACTTCTTCACATAAAGTACCAGGATCTGAAGGCAAGGTGGGCATGAGAGGCTCATGGAAGCCGCTTCCTGCAGCCACCTCAGCCCGGGACGAGTTCACATGACCAGGGCCTTTGGCAGGAATCAGGGTGTTCCACAAGCATGCTGTGTCCTCAGTGTCCTAGAGCCACCGGGCCCCATACTCCCTCCTCCTTGCTGATTCTGCCCAAATCAATGTTCACGCTTAGTGACAGGCCTGAAAGATCCGGTGGCTGATGGGAGGATGTTTTTTGGCCTTCTGGAAAGAGGTGTTCTTCTCAGACTCCTGTCTCAGGATGCTTCTGTTCTGTTACTTTCTCAAATTTGGCCTCCCAGACTGTCAGCTTCTGAGCCTCTGCTGTGACTGCATTTCCCGGGAGAGTGCAAAGTCTTCTCAAGGATGTAAGAAAAGGGAAGTTTATCTGGGAAAGATGTATGTTTTTTTTGTTTATGTCAGAAATTCCATCTTCATCTTCTTCCTAAATCTTGAGGAGGTTGCCACACAGGAGAGGGCAGAAGGTAATAGGAGGAGAGCCTGGCCTGGCCTCTGCCTCTGGCTCACCTCCAGAACCTCAGAGAGCACCCCAAACTGAGGCAGGGAACACTCTGCCACAGGCCTGCGGAAACTCTTTTTCTGCCTTATTAAATTATATCGATGGGAGGCCTGGGCAGTCCCATACTAGATTCAGAACTCTGTGGCAATGGGGCCATTGGACTCCACACAGTGTATCTCGTGTTAGGAAAAAAGAAATCAATCAGCCTTCTGAGGCACCACCATCCTCTGGGCATTCATCCTCCTCCAGACATTTGATGTGAGCTCTGGAGAAATCATTACTGGAAGACAGGTTTTCTCCTCGTGTCACATAAAGACCATCAGCCACACTGCCAGCCTTGCCATTCAAAGGAAAGAACAAGTAATCACATTACAGTGGGGAGGTTCTCTGCTTTACAGAGATAACTGTGGGCTTAGGTCAGGCCTCTGGGAGCAGGGCTCTCACTGGGTGAGTATTTGACAGATTCTGGCTCCATAGTGACGCGGTGCAGGCACGGCCTTTGGGGCCTGTGGCTGGGAGCCCCGGGGCTGATCGGCAGCCAGTCATCTCTCCATTTACTGGCCTTGCTGACTTTCTTCTCCTCCTCAGCCTATGATCCCTTTGCTCTACCTCCTGGGGTTTACAGCTGTAGGGATCTTTGTGGGGTTTTTTGTTAAAGAGGAGTGGGGAACTTCATCTGCCTCTTACCCTAAATACCAGTAAGCCCTTTCAACCAGCATGATTGAGATAAACCCTGGCTATTGACTATTCAGTTCAGGAAGACCGAGCCCTGGTCACCCCCCCCAGCTCTGCTGTGTTGCCTCATGGGCAGGTTACTTAACCTCTTGGGCCTCAGTTTCCTCATTTGTAACACAGGTGAAATAGTACCTCGGTTGATTGTGAGGATGAAATGAGTACTCTGAAAAGAATCCAGAACTAAATTGATTGTCTGACAGAGAGTACTCAAAAACTGTTTGCTGAGTTCAAATTCCATCCCACCAACTAGAGGCAAGGACATCTCCCAAATGGGTGGGCACCACCATGCCATCACAATAGAATTGACCTTCTAGGGGTCAGGGCCCAGCTTCTTCACAAAGAGGCCAGTGGGGAAGGTTTGTGCTGACCTTCGGGGTCACCTTGTTTTGCAGCCTCTCTAACTTCACTGAGAAGAATCAGTGCAGGAAAAGCCTGGGGCGTGAGCCGAGGGTGATGGCCGGGGCCAGACCAGACCTGGCGACATAAAGGCCTCCAGCTCTGAGTCCAGGCCCCAACTTGAGTCCTGTGTCTCCCAGGTCTGCCTTGGGAGAGAAGACAGGAACCCTGCTGCCGGGGCCCCAAGGGTGATGATGGGAAGATGGGGAGCCACAGGTTAATGGGCATGCGCTGGGTTCAAAAGGCAAACCTCAGTAATACAAACCAGTATAGTAGCTTGCTCATCACAGTTCCTGGGCAGCAGCACGGGCACCGGAGCAGATGGACTATCTTTGCATTGGCTCTGCCATGACCAGCTCTAGTGACCTTAAGGCAAGTCACTTATTTGGTCTTGTTAAACATTCTTTTTTTTTTTTAATGTTTATTTATTTATTTTGAGAGAAGAGCACACATGTGTGCACACAGGAAGGGCAGAGAATCCCAAGCAGGTTCTACCGAGCTGCATCAGCACGGAGCCTGATGCTGAACTCATGGTGGGTTGAATCACGATCAGAGCTGAAACCAAGAGTCAGGATGCCGCCTAACCTGACTGAGCCACCACGTGCCCCTCCCACATTTTTTTTCAAGCAGATTTCATGGTAACTGCAGCACAAGATGAGAAATCTGATGCTGTGTCCCCAGTCTTAACCTCTTCCCTTGTAAATATGAAAACGAAGAAAAAGTACTATTAATCCTACCATTCACCCCGTGTCTAGGATGGTCTCTTAGTCTTTGGATCACTGAGAACTTGTTATTCTACTTTCTGGTGATTAAACAGGCTGAGATTTTTCTTCCTTTATCTACATTTTAAAAAATGATTTTGCCTGGTGCCTACAGGTGGCTCCGATTTGGTTAACATAAAAGATCTTTTGGCTCAGTCTTTGGTTTGTGAGTTCAAGTTCACGTCAGCTTCCTGTGCTGACAGCTCGAGCTGAAGTTTTCAGGCATACTAGATTCTGTGTCCCTCTCGCTCTCTCCTATTCGACGCCCCTCCTACTCATCTCTTAACAATAAATAAACGTTAAAATTTAAAAAAATAATATAAAATTGAATTGCAATTCATAAAAATGATTTAAAAATTTTTTTCAACGTTTATTTATTTTGGGACAGAGACAGAGCATTGCATGAACGGAGAGGGGCAGAGAGGAGACACAGAATCGAAACAGGCTCCAGGCTCTGAGCCATCAGCCCAGAGCCTGCGCTGGGGTTCGAACTCACGGACCGCGAAATCATGACCTGGCTGGAGTCGGACAGCTTAACGACTGCGCCACCACAGCAGGCTCCAAAAAATGATTTTAAAACAGACTACAAAAGCAGCTATGCTTGTTGAAAGTATTTAATAATACAGATAAAGTGTAATGTATAAAGTAAAAGCGAGTCCCTGCCCCATAGCCCCTGTTATATTCTTTTGGAATAACTACTGTAAACATTTGGAGCATATCCTGCCAGAACTTTTCTAAGCATATATATTTACATATATGGTTGCCTTTGTTTGGGGTGTTTTTTTTTCAACACTTGGATCAATTAGGCATCCATCCCTGGAACTTGCGGCATTAGACCATGCTTGGGCTTCACGACTTGCAGTTTTTTTTTCAATATGCCATAGCTTTCTGATTTATTTTTAATATATAAATTTATTGGTTTCAAATTCCATACAACACCCAGTGCTCATCCCAAAGGTTCCCTCCCATACCCATCACACCCTCTCTGCCTCCCACCCCCATCAACCCTCAGTTTGCTCAGTTTTGAAGTCTCTTATGCTTTGCTCTCCTCCCACTCTAACCTCTTTTTTCCTTCCCCTCCCATGGGTTTCTGTTGGTTTCTCAGGATCCACATAAGAGTGAAACCATATGGTATCTGCCTTTCTTGTATGCTTATTTCACTTAGCATCACACTCTCCAGTTCCATCCACATTGCTACAAAGGGCCATATTTCATTCTTTCTCATTGCCACGTAGTACTCCATTTCTTTATCCATTCATCAGTTGATGGACATTTAGGCTCTTTCCATAATTTGGCTATTGTTGAGAGTGCTTGACTTGTAGATATATTTTTATGGAGAGACTTGGAATGGAATTCCCTGGTCACTTTAGTGCCCTCCCCCTTTTGAGTGGTGTCAGGACCTTCTACTTCTTTGTAGAGTGAGATGCTAGCTTGGAAAAGGGCTCTATGGTTTCAGAGCTCTTTCCTGAAAAGGAAATTCTACAATTCCCTAGAAGCTCTGCCTCATGTTTTATAGCCTCCCCCACTGGGAAATCTGCCTGACATATAACCTCTGTCCTCCCTGTGTAACTGAAGTCCTCCCCCAGCTTTTCCTCTAGTGCTTATTAAGACAAACTTGGATGCGTACTTCTAAAACCTCGGAAGCGTCGGACTTTGGCTCAGGTTATGATCTCACGGTTCCTGGGTTTGAGCCCCACACCGGGCTCTGTGCTGACAGCTCAGAGCCTGGAGCCTCCTTCTGATTCTGCGTCTCCCTCTCCCTCTGCCCCTCCCCAGCTCACGCTCTGTCTCTCTCTCCCTCTCAAAAATAAAAACATTAAAAGAGGTACCTGGGGGATTCAGTTGGTTAAGTGTCTGACTCTGACTCAGGTCCTGATCTCACTGCTCGTGAGCTTGAGCCCCACGTTGGGCTCTGTGCTGACAGCTCAGAGCCTGGAGCCTGCTTCCGATTCTGGGTCTCCCTCTGTCTGCCCCTCCCCCACTCACACTCTGTCTCTGTCTCTCCAAAATAAATTAAGACATTAAAAAAATAAAAACATTAAAAAAAAATAAAACCTTGACTACGTAATAGGAGTATCTTTGCCCTGTCTTCTTCCTGCTGAATACCACATACTCTAGTCTGTGCTGGTAGACTCTACCCTTCTACACTTTAGTTAGGGAACGAAACTTCTTAGCTGGGCCCCCCGATCTCCTTCTTGGGGTGCCCAGAACATGCAGCATAATTGACTCAAGCTCTTACCTTTCCTGCCATACCAGGCCCTCCGGTGCTGTAGGCTCCTGCTGAGAGTTTCTCGGGTCATGGGTTGATATGTCTCCTGCAGGTGACATTTTATTCACCGGTAGGGTTTATTTTCTTTTCTAATGCCGGTTTTCCTCCTCTGTTTCAGGTGACCGAGGTCCAAAAGGAGAGAAGGGAGACAAAGGAGACAGAGCAGGGGATGCCGGTAAGGACATTCTACTGGGGTCGCTGGGTTCTGTAGCTGTCATCTAAGCAGCCCCACGGGTCTGGGGGGCACCGGAGGCTAGAGCCAAAGGAGCTCCCTCCCTGTTTCAGGGCCCTGCTGGCCCAGCAAGAGACAGCTATACTGAAGGGGGAACAGACCATGCTTCCATAAGCCCAGTGGTTGTATGGGATGATCTGGAGGCAGACTGTCTGCCCTCCCTCCTGGCTGCCTCACTAGCCAGCTGAGTAATCTCTGCACCTCAGGTTTCTCATCTTTAGAATGGGGATAAGAAGCATCCTTACCTCGTAGGATCATTGTGACAAGTGAATGAGTTAGTCCACATAAAGTGCTTGTTACACTGCCTCCACTGTGGCTAGGATTCAGTAAGTGCTGAGTATTATCATGCCGTGTAATACATTAGTTCAGACATACCGGCTCTCCAGGTACTTGCATGAGGAAAGGTGCAGAAGCAAAACAGAACCCTTTTTGTTTTCCTCCTTTGCTATGAACTGAGTAGTGACACTAGGGAATCTCCTTATTGGGCAGAACACCAAGTCTAGGAATGGAAGTCTCTCTGACCAGCGTCCTCCCTAAAATGTTGACAAGGGCTACACGTAGAGCCTTGGAGAGATTGTCAAAGAATGAGTCTCCTAGCCAAGTTTCAACAAAATGCTAGCATATAGTATTTGTTGGGCTCTGAAATGTTGCCATTCTATGGGAAGCCATGAGCAGATTCTCCCCTTCTAGGGCACCTGTGCTCCAGTCCTGGCCCCCTAGGAAGACTGCACCTGCACCCAGGTTCTGCTGGTGACACTCAGGGACAGATGCCACTGCAGATTCACACACTGGCCCGAGACCACAGGTTTCCCTACTGCCGATCTGTGGTTCCATCCCAGTCACGCAGGACCAGGAAGGACACCTCTCTCCTAAGTAGGGCCTTTCCAAGGTCCTCTGAAACTTGAACTTGCCTGCTACCTCCCCTGGCCTTCTCTTTCCCAGGGTTGTGATTAAGATCAAACAGGAAAAATGCACATGACGGTGCTTTGTCACTCGGTGGTGGTGGACACGGACGAGGACCAGGTGTGCCTATGCTCGCTCTGGGCTCACCGCGTCCACTTTACCCTAGATGCTATAACCCACAAAACAGTTTCTGTGGTTCAGTCTTCCTAGCATTGTCTACAGTCCCTTTCTGGGGCAGCCAAGGGTTTAACTGGGAGTGTCCTGGCTCAATGAGGAGAGCTGGTGGACTTTGCTAGGAGCCAAGAGGAGAGTTTTGAAGACAAAATAAAGGAGTCTGGATATGATCTAGGACATCTGTGACAGATCTGAGTCACACTTATCTAATGGACTGGGCTCCGTACTTTGTCTTTGGGGTGCTCTCTGCTCTGTTTGTTGACTGCTTTCTGATGGAATGCTGCCAAAGTAGCCGAGAAGGACGGCGGCCTTTAGCTCTGTGAAATAAAAAATTCCTGCTGTGGTGGCAGGAAGGGGGGGTCTGTGGAGAGATGACCTGTGAGAGGGGGATCAGAAACGCTGCCCACATACCGGGGGTTCTTGTCAGGAACTCTTTGGCGACTATTCCTCAGCCGACTTGACAGGAGAGAGGAGGTCCGTGCTAGCCTGGGAAGAGGTGGTGGTGGCCAGTCCATTAATCCAAAGGATGCTTTCATCACTGTTTACCTTGGTTCTGTGGGCCCAGCTGGCTGGCCTCTGCAACTGGACCGGGCTGTGAGGTGCTGAGCCACAGTGGTGTGGGGCTCCCCCAGGCGTGGGTGGGGAGCATGGGGGAAGGGCATCTAATCCACTTGGCCCTGGAGTCTATGGACTGCACCACAAGAGGCTGATGTCAGCCCGGAACAGCCCCTCCTCAGGGACAAACGGCGTTCTTTCTTTCCTGCCCTGAAGAGGCCACACCCTCACTGGAGCCCAGAGCTCAGACAATGGCCTTGACACAAAGCCCTAAGCTTTTCATTGCCGTCTCCCAACCCCAAAAAATATCTTCGTGGGTGATGGACCTGGAAAGTGAGCTGGCTCAGCAGAGACAGCTCCACAGATAGGAGGCTTTACACAGCGTACAGGGGAGCATAGGAGACACGCGGGAATTGTAGAGCGTAACTGGAAGGCCATCCATCCGTCACCTGTTCCAGAGGCTTTCAGGAGCAGGACGGTTCTCCCAAGGCAGGAGCAGAAGCAGAAGCAAAGTGGAAACCCAGGCCTCTGACTTCTCTTAACTTTGGAATGAGATCTTAGGCCCCTGGTCTTTAAGAGTCCGGTTGGGCTCCTTAAAACCTAGTGAGTCCCTCACCTGTAGATATGGATTTAAGGGAACCTTTGAAGCAATTCAGGGCTACCCCATGCGGTGGCAGGGGAGTGCTTTCCCACGGCCGGCACCCCTGGCCTGTCTCTGACTACGCCAAACCCACGCTATATTCAGACTCCTGGTTTGGTTTCTAAGGAGCTCCAGTCCAACAGGCGTTAACTGGATCCCTGAGACCACAGCTTTGAGGAGGAAGCCAAGGATCATCTTTCAGGAGAGTGTGGAAATTCTGATGAGCACGGAGTGCCCGCTTCTGGGAGGTTCTCAGTCATTCCCCAAGCCCAGGGCAGCCCCTCCGTGAGATCTAACGGGTGGGGAAAAGGACTCAGCACTAGAGTTCTGCCCTCCTCCACAAAGGAACACCGTGGAGAAGGAACCCTCTTGGGAGACCCAGCTCAGGGCACCTTTACCAAACACCTCCCACACTTAGCAGAAAACCTGAAGTTCCAGCAGGTGGGGTATTACTACATAAAGGGATCGAGAAGAGCAACAAGTTACCTACCCCTCAGGTCAGAATCAGAAATTGGGGGCTTTCCTTTGAAGAGGGCATTACAGAGAAGATTTCTTGGGTCCCATGTTTTGAGTCAATATTAAAATATTTTTCAGGGGAGGGGCGCCTGGGTGGCTCAGTCGGTTGTGCGTCCACTTTGGCTCGGGGCGTGGTCTCTCAGTTTGTGAGTTCGAGCCCTGCATCGGGCTCTGTGCTAACAGCTCAGACCCTGGAGCCTGCTTCGGATTCTGTGTCTCCCTTTCTCTCTGCTCCTCCCCTGCTCACGCTCTGTCTGTCTCTCCTACAAAAATAAATACACATTCAAAAAAAAGTTTTTAAAAATATTTTTCAGGGGAAAAATAAAAGTTACCAAAAAAAGGGTGACTGGGTGGCTCAGTCAGTTAAGCATCTGACTCTTGATTTTGACTCAGGTCATGATCTCAATGGTTCATGAGTTCAAGCCCTGCATCGAGCTCTGTGGTGATAGTTTGGACCCTACTTGGGATTCTCTTTCTCCCCCTCTCACTCTGCCTCTCCCCAGCTCGCATGTAGGCTCTCTAAATAGATAGATAGATAGATAGATAGATAGATAGATAGATAGATAGATAACTTAAAAAAATTTTTTTAATGTTAAAAAAATATTTTTCAGGGGGCTCCTGGGTGGCTCAGTCAGTTGAGTGCCCGCCTCTTGATTTCAGCTCAGGTCGTGATGTCACAGTTCATGAAATTGAGTCCTGTGTCAGGCTCTGCACTGACTGAGGGTGCAGATCCTGCTTGGGGTTCTCTGTTTCCCTCTCTATTTCTCTCTGCCCCTCCACCGCTTACATTCTCTGTCAAAATAAATAGACATTTAAAAATAAATAAATAAAAATATTTTTCAGGATAGGATCTTGCAATTGTTTACCCATGTTTTGATCTGGAGTCACATGATTCTAGAGTCAAACGGGGTTTCAGGCTGACTCCTCTCCCCATCGTGAGCACCCCCCCCCCCACCTCCAGTTCACTGAACTGGGACCAAGAATAGAGGTCTGGAGAGAATCCCCACCGTCCCACGGCTAGGCCATGGTTCAAACTGAGTCTGGAATCCAGATCTCCTGATTTCTGCTTGACAAGAGGCAAAGTTTTGTTTTCTTTTCTTTTGTTTTGAGGCAAGGGAGGTCTATCAGTCATTCTGTTAGATGTTTGGCTTTGGGGAGTTTGGCCAGGAAAAAAATAAACTCTATATACATATCTCAAGACAGAAAAACGTTTGTTTTACCCTCATATATGGTCCATTTGCAGGAAAAATAAATAGTATTTTTGCAGCTCAGGGGTGGGTAAAGTTTCCAGCATGAATTTAAAGCAGGATAGAAGCTCAGATTGTTTAAAAACTTTTCCTCAATTTGGTTTCACATGGGAAAAATATGCAGAATGACCCAGGGGTAGATTCTAAGCCAGATTTTGTTGGTAGTTTCTAGTGGCATCTCAGAAAATTAGGAAAAATGTTTAACACCTTGTGTGTGTTTGCAGTATTTAGGAAAGTTTGTGGGTGCGGGGGGAACAGTGGGCACCCCATCGTGTAGCGTAAGCTCAAAAGAAATTATCAGGGAGGTAGCTTCTAGACAGTTTTGTCCACAGCTGCTGAGATGTTTCTATCTCTTTTAGAATGTGGGGGCGCCTGAATGGCTCAGTTAAGTGTCTGACTTTGGCTCAGGTTGTGATCTCATGGTTCATGGGTTGGAGCCCTATGTCGGGCTCTGTGCTGACAGCTCAGAGCCTGGAGCCTGCTTCGGGTTCTGTGTGTGTGTCTCTCTCTGCCCCTCCCCTGCTCACATACTCTTGTGTGTGTGTCTCTCTCAAACATAAATAAACATTAAAAAAAAAAAGAATCCGGAATGCAAAGAGAGGCCTTCAGTGTCCGTGAGTTCCTTTCCTCCCATCCCTGTAAGTACGGTTACCTGCACTGGGTGCCCCAGGGAATCCCATTTGGCACCAAAAGTTAGCATTCTTGCAAGCATGGAGAGACAGAGATGCTGGACCTTTTATATGCAAATATATTTCTTTACTAACTGGATATATTTCTTTAATTCCTTATACAACTTTAATGCCCCAGCAACAATGTGATCTAAAAGTAAACCACACTTCTCAGAAAAATCAACTATCACATGCTACTACTAACAAACTTGTAGCTGGTACTATGAGAAGCAAAGTTTC